AGGGGTGGGACCGGGTGGTGGGGCGAATTCAGGCCGAGGAAGGGCTCTCCCGGCCCGGCCACGGCCACCGGAGGCCTCCCCCCCTGGATCTGACAAAGTGTCGGGCCTCCAGGGGTGGGACCGGGTGGTGGGGCGAATTCAGGCCGGGGAGGGCTCGCCCGGCCCGGCCGCAGCCACCGGAGGCTCCCCCCCTGGATCTGACAAAGTGTCGGACCTCCAGGGGTGGGACCGGGGGGTCGGCCGAATTCAGGCCGGGGAGGGCTCGCCCTGCCCGGCCGAAGCCACCGGAGGCTCCCCCCCTGGATCTGACAAAGTCTCGGACCTCCGTGGGTGGGACCGGGGGGTCGGCCGAATTCAGGCCGGGGAGGGCTCGCCCTGCCCGGCCGAAGCCACCGGAGGCTCCCCCCCTGGATCTGACAAAGTCTCGGACCTCCAGGGGTTGGGACCGGGGGGTCGGCCGAATTCAGGCCGGGGAGGGCTCGCCCTGCCCGGCCGAAGCCACCGGAGGCTCCCCCCCTGGATCTGACAAAGTGTCGGACCTCCAGGGGTGGGACCGGGGGGGTCGGCCGAATTCAGGCCGGGGAGGGCTCGCCCTGCCCGGCCGAAGCCAACGGAGGCTCCCCCCCCCCCTGGATCTGACAAAGTGTCGGACCTCCAGGGGTGGGACCGGGGGGTCGGCCGAATTCAGGCCGGGGAGGGCTCGCCCTGCCCGGCCGAAGCCACCGGAGGCTCCCCCCCTGGATCTGACAAAGTCTCGGACCTCCGTGGGTGGGACCGGGGGGTCGGCCGAATTCAGGCCGGGGAGGGCTCGCCCGGCCGGGCCGCAGCCGCCGGAGGCTCCCCCCGTGAATATGACAGAGTGTTGGACCTCCGGGAGGGGGACCGGGCGGTGAGCAAAATGTGTCCGGGAAAGGGCCACTTTAGCCCTGCCTTAATCGGCGCAGCGACCCGCTGTCCCATGTGACCGAGCGTTGGACCTCCGTGGGGGCGGTGGGACCGGGGGGTCGGCCGAATTCACACCGAGAAGGGCTCTCCCGGCAGGGCCGCGGCCGCCGGAGGCTCCCCCCGTGAATTTGACAAAGTGTTGGACCTCCGGGAGGGGGACCGGGCGGTGCGCAAAATGTGTCCGGGAAAGGGCCACTTTAGCCCTGCCTTAATCGGCGCAGCGACCCGCTGTCCCATACGACCGAGCCTCGGACCTCCGTGGGGGCGGGGGGACCGGGATTTGGGCCGAAATACCCCCTGGGAGGTACCCTCCCGGCCGTGCCGCAGCCGCCGGAGGCTTCCCCCGTGAATATGACAGAGTGTTGGACCTCCAGGAGGGGGGCCGGGTGGTGAGCAAAATGTGTCCGGGAAAGGGCCACTTTAGCTCGGCCTTGATCGGCGCAGCGACCCGCTGTCCCTTTCACCCTAGCTCAAGGCTAGTGGCAGCTAGCCCATAGTAATCCGGCGACTAGAGCCTACGTTTGGCGCTTTTGGGTACACGGACCGGCGCCCCTGGTAAGGTGACGGGACTTTGGCTCTGCAGAGGAGGGATTTCTCTTTGGGTTCTTTAATTTTTTTCTCTTCCTCTCTTCTTCTGCTACTCCTTTCTCATCTCATCATCTCCTCATCCACCGGATCTCCACCGCGGTCTCCGGGCTCTCCATGCCCGGCCACCGGGCTCTCTTCCCCGGGCTCCAGGCTCTCCATCCCCGGCCCTCCGGAGCTCCATGCCCGGCCTCCGGGCTCTCCACGCCCGCCCTCCACCTCTCTTCCCCGGCCCTCCGGAGCTCCATGCCCGGCCTCCGGGCTCTCCACCCCGGGCCTCCAGGCTCTCCATGCCCGCCCTCCGGGCTCCCCGGGCTCCAGACTCTCCACGCCCGCCCTCCACATCACTTCCCCGGGCTCCGGGCTCTCCATCCCCGGCCCTCCGGATCTCCACCGCGGTCTCCGTGCTCTCCATGCCCGGCCTCCGGGCTCTCCACCCCGGGCCTCCAGGCTCTCCATGCCCGCCCTCCACATCACTTACCCGGGCTCCGGGCTCTCCACCCCCGGCCCTCCGGAGCTCCATGCCCGGCCTCCGGGCTCTCTTCCCCGGGCTCCGGCCTCTCCATGCCCGGCCCTCCGGAGCTCCTCCCCGGGCTCCAGACTCTCCATGCCCGCCCTCCACCTCTCTTCCCCGGGCTCCGGGCTGTCCATCCCCGGCCCTCCGGAGCTCCATCCCCGGCCTCCAGGCTCTCCATGCCCGGCCTCCGCGCTCTCTACCCGGGGCCCGCCCTCCACATCACTTCCCCGGGCTCCGGGCTCTCTTCACCGGGCTCCAGGCTCTCCATCCCCGGCCCTCCGGAGCTCCATGCCGGGGCTCCGGGCTCTCCACGCCCGCCCTCCACCTCTCTTCCCCGGGCTCCGGGCTCTCCATCCCCGGCCCTCCGGAGCTCCACCCCGGCCTCCAGGCTCTCCATGCCCGGCCTCCGCGCTCTCTTCCCGGGGCTCCAGGCTCTCCATGCCCGCCCTCCAC